GAATAGAATAGAATAGAATAGAATAGAATAGAATAGAATAGAATAGAATAGAATAGGAGCTGGAAGGGACCTTGGAGGTCTTGCATGGTCAAAGAGGAAACTCATTTGCTAGCTATAGGAGTTATTCTATTCTTTAAAACATGGGTCTCCAAACTGGGCAATTTTAAGACTTGTGGACTTCAATTCCCAGAATTCCTCAACCAACCATGACTCTTTCAGCTATGACTCATTCCTGTCACAGCAGAAGATCACAAAAGGACAAGCTTGTTGGCGCTGACGAATTGGTCCAGAATCCAGTTGGACAATCCCACTGAATAATAAAAAACATCTCGGGGTGGGATTAACAGATAAATCAGTCCAAACATGATTTACATGGCAAGTTGTCAAGCTTGGAGGGCCCTGCTTCAAAGGTCCAGGTAGTTCTTAACCACAGAAATTCTGATGCTTAAATTCTGAAATATGAGCCAGCCGTGTGCTGCCACTGTCAAAACAAGCCAACACAGTGCTAGGCTGCATTAACAGAGGGATAGAATCGAGATCATGTGAAGTGCTAATACCACTTTACAAGGCCTTGGTAAGGCCACACCTGGAATACGGCATCCAGTTTTGGTCACCATGATGTAAAAAAGATGCTGAGACTCTAGAAAGAGTACAGAGAAGAGAAACTGGACTGGAGGCTAAAACATATGAAGAACAGTTGCTGGAATTGGGTATGTCTAGTTTAATGAAAAGAAGGATTAGGGGTGACATGACAGCAGCCTTCCAATATCTCAGGGGCTGCCCCAAAGAAGAGGGAGTCAAGCTATTCTCCAAAGCACCTGAAGGCAGGACAAGAAGCAACAGATGGAAACTAATCAAGGAGAGAAGCAACCTAGAATTAAGGAGGAATTTCCTGACAGTTAGAACAATTAACCAGTGGAACAACCTGCCTCCAGAAGCTGTGAATGCTCCAACACTGGAAGTTTTTAAGAAGAGATTGGACAACCATTTGTCAGAAATGGTGTAGGGTCTCCTGTCTGAGCAGGGGGTTGGACTAGAAGACCTCCAAGGTCCCTTCCAACTCTGTTACTCTACTCTACTCTACTCTACTCT